AAATTATAAATAAATAAATAAATAAATAAATAAATAAATAAATAAATAAATAAATAAATAAATAAATAAAAAGACAAGAAAAGTAAGGCTGGCAAGAAAAAAAAGAAAGAAAGAAATGTCAAAGATGTGGAGAAAAGAGAAACCTTGTATGTTGATGTTGGGAATGTAAATTGATACAGCCACTATGGAAAACAGCATGGAGGATTTTCAAAAAATTAAAAATAGAACTACTGTATGATCCAGCAATTCCATTTCTGATAATATATCCAAAGGAAATGAAAACATTAATTTGAAAAGATATCTGCACTTCCATATTCATGGCAGCATTATTTACAACAGCCAAGATAAACAACCTAAGTATCCCTTGATGAGTGAATGGATAAAGTTGTGGTATTTATATACAATAGAATATTATTCAGTCATTAAAAAAAGAGGAATCTTACCACTCGTGACAACATGGATGGACTTTGAAGGCATTATGATAAGTAAAATAAATCAGACAGATAAAGTCAAATACTGTATGATCTCATTTATATGTGAAACCTAAGGGGATCCTTGGGTGGCTCAGCAGTTTAGCGCCTGCCTTCCACCCAGGGCATGATCCTGGGGTCCCAGGATTGAGTTGGGACTCAATCGGGCTCCCTGCATGGAGCCTGCTTCTCCCTCTGCCTGTGTCTCTGCCTCTCTCTCTGTGTGTGTCTCTCATGAATAAATAAATAAAATCTTTAAAAAAAAAAAAAACTAAAACAAGTAAATTCATAGGAAAAGAGATCAGTCTTGTAGTTAAATAGAGGTGGGGGTGGGGAGTCCATGTTTTTCCTTTATTTTTCTTTTTTTCTTTTTTTTGTATGTGTGTGTCTATTTAAGAAGGCGGATGTTAGCTGAACCTATTATGATAATCATTTCACAATGTATGTAAACTAAACCATCATCCTGTGTACCTTAAACCTATACAGTGGTGTATGCCAATTATTTCACAATAATACTGGGGGAAAAAATCAAACCATAACATTTTGCACTGACATCTGGGAATATTTGTATAAAGTTTTGACCCCTAAAACTACACTTTTACATTACTGGTATCAATATTTGGTATCAATAAAATATTGATAAATATTGATAAAATATCTACTTACACAGATAACAAATGTCTGGAATCCTCACCAAATCCTCAGCATTTACAAGTCTGAGCAGTTTTTTGTGGTGATATAACCAATTACAGGATCAGATAAAAGGACTTCTACCTCATTTTTAAAATTATTTTTAATTACTCAGGAAATTGTGAATATAACTAGCCCAAATTAATGTAAATGGTCAATATTTCTCTGTATTAACATTAATGTTAAAATTTCTAAGCACCTACTATGAGCTCCTTCCGTTTTTTTTCCCTGAACTTATACAGTAAGTTTACATACAGTAATCGTCACCTTGATTAGCAGATTTTGATATATAGTTGTCCCACTTTGGAATCCATGAGAGAAAACAACAGCTAAAGTGCCATAAGACATGTATTCACATATCAGTTAATCAATAATTATTTAGTATCTGCTATGTGTGAGGCTCTATTCTTAGCCAAAACAAGAATAAAACAGATAAAAATTCCTGACCTTGTAGTGCTCACATTTTTTAGATGGAATATAAGAAAACCAAAAAACATAAAAGTTAGATAATGTGCTAGAAAGTAATTTATGCTATTAAAAAAAAGAAGAAGAAGAAAAAGGCAGATGGGGAGTGTTGGACCAGGGCTGCAATTCCAAATAGGCTGGCCTGGAAACCATACTGACAAGGTAACATTTAGGTTAGGACCTATAAGAGGTGAGAGAATAGTCAGGAAGAAATGTGGAAGAAAACCAATCCATGCTAAGAGGGGCATAGCTTTGACAAAGCCTAATCATAAGGCAGTTCTACCCATAAGTAGAATGACAGTATAATTTATGGGCTTTTTCCAGCTCAACATCATTAACCCTTTGACTTCATCTGTTGAACCCTGACTTTCTGAAGACCAAGAGGGTTAAGGAACTCCCAATAACTGAGAGCCTGTGACATTAATACATTCCAGAAATAGAGAACACCAAAATCCCAGATTTCTAAATTATAACTTATTACTTTAGAATACAGTCTTAGCATTATATCAAGGGAAGAGATACATATTCATGTATTTATATTGACTTCAATGAATACAGTCCTTAAGTATTTTGCATTGAAAATAAACCCATGTTTTTAGAAAGTGCATTGTGTACCTTGGAAATTGTTGGCATCTTAACAACTGACATGTTGACATAGTCCTATGGAGCGTGGTTAGGTCTGGTAGTATTGGGGCTCTTTTGAGTGCCATGTTGATAATGGCTTTCTGTGCATTTGTATGATTTTTATTCTCATAACTTATGGGATAATCTCTCAAGGGTTTTGTTTTAGGGTGACCCTGGATCATCTGCTGCAGGAATTAAGGTAACTGTAACCTTGTGAATGATTGTACCCCAGGAGTTACAGTTCTGAATTTTATAAGCCTCTGCTTTCTCTTCTTTTCCACCAATTCTGATGGTTATAACTTTTTTTATTCTTCTGCAATAATCCCCTTCCAAACACAACAGGGAGTATCTGCTGGAAATCTGATAAAGGCTTAAATAAGAGGCCTTGCCATGACTTCTCTCTGCAGCTGGTTTTTATGGAAATGTGGATTTGTATGTGAGCTTTAGGTATGTTCACAGCAAAAAGATTTTCCTGTCTCTGGTGAGATATACAGTAATAAAGTGAAATGACCAGGAAGGCTAGGCCATCTCTGTGAAAGTGTCCAGAGGCCTGAGGACTTTGGAAAATTCTTGTAAGATTGTTTTTATCATCTTGGGTTTTCTTTGTCCAGGGGGAACCTGGAGAATCTGGTCGTCCAGGACAAAAGGTAATACTTCTAGTGTCGTCTTTGTACCATCCCATATTTGCCATTTTATATCTACTATTCTCTGTGTAATATGAAAACAATTATTGAAAAATGATGCAGTTTTCATGCTTTGCATGCAGAGTGTGATTGTTTTGCATTTTAAAAGGGTTGATGCTGACCATGGCAAAATATGAAACACTCTGTACATGTAAAAAGATGCTCTATATACTACGGTCTGCATATACTCAGCTGTTTGAAGCTAACAGATCAGTCAGGTTGGAATGCCAACAGCTTGCATGTTTAAAGATACTCTGCATGTTCCTATCATTCATGAGAAGAAGTGAGCATTTACTAAACTGTATGAGTGACATAGCCAGCCAGTGGCCTGAGCTCTCTCTTCTGTGTTTCTTTCTATTAAAACAAAAACAACTTATCTGCTACCCAAAGTAAAAAAAAAAAAAAAAAAAAAAAAAATGTGTTTTTTTTCATAAATTTATAACAGCATGATAGTGATAAAAGGGCTTTGGGCTCCATACTTGAAAGCCCAGCTACAGCTCTGCTCCACCCTACACACCATATTAGGTGGTAACAACAAGCTAACGAACATGAAAATAGAGAAATAAAGTAATCTAAATTAAAATATTTGTCTATTTTCATCCAAGTCAGGTTTAAAAAGAAAAAAAGAGTACCCACAGTTTTGCCAAGTTGAGATTCACCTAGTAAAAAAAATGAATAATCTTTGAACCTCACTTCCTGGATATTTTTCTGTCCCTGGGAATTTTTCTGTCCTGGGTACTGCTTTGCATAGGTACGTGTTTACTAAGTCACAGCTATTAAAGTCATGATTTTTTTTTTTTTTAGAACACAATGAATCGCTTTTATTTCGGTATGCATCCACATCTCAGCATTTAGTGGTCCTGAACAGAAAAGTGGAAAAACGCAGCAATTTGCCAGGAAGTCAAGCCCACCAATTTCGGGGACCTGCTGTGCACACTGAGTTCTTTCTCCATCCCTGCTGAGGACCATGAGACACAGCAGCACCAAAACCAAAGTATGCACCGAATCCAAGGTTCTTTTCGTTCCAGTTGTCAGATTCCAAACTAGACCCAAATGGATTGTAAGATGACCGCATGAGAACCCTGTTTAAAACTTCAAATTGTTAAAAGCAAAAGCAATTACAGAAAAAGAAAACAATTCATTCAAAGGGATCGTGTGTGCTTACAAGTGTCTTCTGTGGCCTTTCTCCAAGTTTTACCACCAAGCACTTTGAGAGCTGGCAGGTCTGAGTACCCCTGGTGACTGTTCTTTTCACTTTATCAAAACCTGAGCTAAAAAAACGGCATCAGCTGATGATGACAGCAGAGGGTGGCAGAGCTGAGGACCCAATATTCATTCCCAGGCTGGTGGAGAGTGAGTAAATGTGGTTCCAAACTAAACGAGGGAAGTCAGAGACTCTTTCCAACCTTACCTGATGGCTTCTGGCCAAAGCAAGGAAGTATTGGGTGGTGATGGTGCAAAAAGGGACTTGAGGAGGAAGGAAAAAGCAGCACCCCTCAATTAAGGTGGGGGAGAAGATATGGGAAAAGCCCTGAATTCCTCACCGAAGGCCAATTTCAGAGGGGAGCAGAGGGGGTTACAATCTATGCTTTGGCTGAGGTCATGGGAAGTGGAGAAAGGATGATGGCTTGGAGGGGGGAGGGCATCATTTAAGACTTTAAAAAAGAAACCAGGGGTGCAGCTGGAGCACCCCTGCACACCCAGCAGTAGTCCCACAGGCTGCGACCTGAAACCTTCACGCCTGTTTTAGCAAGCCACCCCAAACTGGAGGGCTGTTGCAGGGACAGAGGAGTGGGTGGAGGGAGGGAGGAAGCCAGCAGGAGGAGAAGGGGAGAAGGCAGAGACCCCAGGCCATGTAATCAGCAGCAAGGTGATTGTGTGATGTGTCTTTTCACAGCTGAGTTAGATGTGCCCCACCGGTTATGATGAGAATCAATTTAAATATACTTTCTTGATCCCAGAAGTTCAACTATGTGGACAGTGGTTACACTTGACAGGATGATTTGTTATAGCACAACTTATATATTTCAAATGGACAAAAAATTAGTATCGTTTATAGTATCTTAAGATAAATTGCCTTTGAATGGGAGCTTCCTTTCCAGTACTTTTGAGGTCTACAAGACGTATCTAGAAAATGTACTACTGTGGAAAATGACTGCTTAAATCGAATGGGGGGGCGGGGGGGGGGGCTGTGGTTTCTCTTTTTTATTAATTGCTGTAACACTGTCCTTCAGGCGGCTGAGGGAGTTTCATGTTTTCTTTAGACATCTTTAGGCGCCGGAGCTCTTGCAGGACAGCTTTGATGCTATATGAGTTCTGCCATTTTGCTAGCACGGATATGGCTCTTGGGTCCACCACTCCATTAGTACTATTAACTCCATTCATATTAATTTTTGTTACAAATCTTACAAAGGGGGTGCTTCTGGGTATTTAGGTCCACATTCTATTTTAAGGCTGTATATTCAGTTTTCATAAATTGTTCTTGGAGGCCCAATTATCATCCCTGTCCATCTTGTAAGTGTCATGTCTTCGTCATCTTCTAGACCCCAGCTAACTGTGCCATCTCCTACTCCTTTCTGGCCTTCTTCCAGTTCTTCCAACAGTAGAAAATTGCAAGGGACTTTTACTCCTGAGCCCATGGTGGCTGCCATCTTGTGTTGCTGTCGCTAAAGTCATGATCTTAAATGAAAAAATGAAACACATGATAAATTCTTTTAAAATGCAGTAAGCAGGGAACACCTGGGTGGCTCAATTGGTTAAGGGTCTGACTTCAGCTCAGGCCATGATCTTGGGGTCTTGAGACGAAGCCCTGCTGTGGGCTCCCCAATTGGCAGGGAGTCCTGCTTGATCTTCTCCCTCTGTTCATCCTCCTATTCACATGCTTCCTCTCTCTTTCTTTCTTTCTTTCTTTCTTTCTTTCTTTCTTTCTTTCTGTCTCTCTCTCCGTCTCAAATTAAAAAATAAAATACAGTAACCTATAAATTCTTGTCAAGATACCAGGAAGCTTTCTGTCTCTTTCTGGCATTCAAGATTTCAAAGTAAGGACGTTGGCAGGTCTTCTGGTTCGAAATTCTGGATTTCCCTGGGTCTTCTGGTAGCAGCTGTGACCAGCTGTGCTGACAGCACAGGAGCCAAAAAATCTGTTTATCATTTTTGTGAAGGGGATCAAGGAACACTGAACAGACTTCAAGGTGCTAGTATGAGTGACATGCTGGCGGCCACAGTGAAGAAATGCAAACCAGAGATCAGAAAGTAGATGCATTCAGCAGTGGTAATTCCACAACAAAATTCATACTGAAGAAAAGATGGTGTGTTTCTCTATTTTGAAGATAAAACGGGTTATAGTAAACAATAAAGGTGAGATGAAAGGTTCTGCTATCACAGGACCAGTTGCAAAGGAGTGTGCAGACTTGTGGCCCAAGATTGCATCCAATGCTGGCAGCATTGCATGATTCTTTGGTGTTTAAAGATTTATTTATTTTGAGAGTGAGAACGAGAGAGTAAGGGAGAAAAAAAGAGTGCATGTGGGGTGGGGAGAGCAGAGGGAAAGAGAGAATCCAAGCAGACTCCTCCCTAAACGAGGAACCCCACTGCAGGGCTCAATCTCACAACCCTGAGATCATGACCCGAACCAAAATCAAGAGTCAGACACTTAATGGACTGAGCCACCCAGGCATCCCTTTTTAGTGTATCCTAAAAAAAGTAAAAATTATTAGTTCTCCTCTGCCCCAAAAAAGCAATGACCAGCCAGCCCTTTGAGGAAATATTCCTGTAAGTATGAGAAGACAGCGTAACCATTAATTTATTGGATAACTTTATATAAATCACTTGCCTTTTTGCATCTACTTTCCCTTTTTTTTAAGGAAATGATAATATATGCCTTATCCACTGTACAATGTTAATGTTAGGTAACATGTTAAAAGGCTTTGATTAATATAAATTATTATGTGTCATCATCACGATCATTAATCATTTACTGCTTATCTACTATAATTAAAGCAATACAATATATGTTTATTGGAGACTAAGAGCCAGGATACAATAAAAAGAACAAGATAAAATTTAATAATACCTGCCCTACCCATGGAATAAGATTAGAATTGGATGAATAATGTATGTGCTTCGTAGAAATGTCTGTAAATACTAATACTGTCTGAAATAAAGTCAAGCACTTAGCAAAGATTACAACTGGAATAAATTATTGGGTAGTGCTGAGTTTTTGGAGATTACCTAATAATGATGAAAAAAATGCCAAGAACATCCACTGAAAGGAAATGAGTCTTGACAGAAAGATGACACAGCATGTAAATAACATGCTACTAAACAATAAATAAGACAGGAAATCAAAGACAAAATCCAAAAAAAAAATATATATATATATATACACACAAATGAAAATAAAAACACACAATGGCTCAAAATCTTTTGGATATAGCAAAAGTATTTCTAAAAGGGAAATTCGTAGCAATACATGTCTACCTCGAGAAGCAAGAAAAGCTCAAATAAACAACCTAACAACCAAAAATCCCAAGCCAGTAGAAGGAAGGAAATGATAAAAATTAGAGCAGAAATAAATGATACAGAAAGTAAAATAACAATAAAACAGGTCCATGAAACCAGGAGCTGGTTATTTGTACTGACCAACAACATTGATAAACCTTTAACCAGATTCATGGAAAAAAAAAAAAAGAGAAGACTCAAAATCAAAAATAAAAGAGGAGAAATAACAACCAATAGCACAGAAATACAAAGGATTTTAAGAGAATATATGAAAAATTATATATCAATAAATTGGACACTCTAGAAGAAATGAATAAGTTCCTAGCAACATAAACCTCCCAAAATTGAATCAGGAAGAAATACAAAATTTGAACAGACCTATTATCAGCAATGAAATTGAATCACTAAAAAAATAAATAAATAAATAAATAAATAAATAAATAAATAAATAAATAAAAGAAATTGAATCACTAATCAAAAAATTCCCAATAAACAAAAGCCCAGGACCAGATGGCTTCACACATGAATTCTACCAAACATTTATGCAACATATGAGTGGCTCAGTCGGTTAAGCATCTGACTCGATTTTGGCTCAAGTCATGATCTCAGGGTCATGAAATCAAGTCACATGTTGGGCTCCATGCTCAGTGGGGAATCTGTCTCTCCCTCACTCTCTCTTCCTCTGCCCTTCTCCCTGTTCACACTCTCTCTAAGAAAATAGATAAATAAATCTTAAAAAAAAATATGAGTTAATGCCTATTCTTCTTAAACTGTTCAAAAGAAAAAAAAATAGAAGAGGAAGGAAAGCTTCCAAATTCATCCTACGAGGCAAATATTACCCTAATAACAAAACTGGATATAAAGACATTATGAAAAAAGAAAACTACAGGCCAACGTCCATGATGAATATAGATGCAAAAATCCTCAACAAAATACTAGCAAACCAAATCCAATAATATATTAAAAAGTCATTCACCACAATCAAATGGGATTTATTCCTAGGTTGCAAGAGTGGTTCAATATTTGAAAATCAATCAGTATGATACATCACATCAACAAGAGGACGGATAAAAATTATATGACCATTTCAACAGATGCAGAAAAAGCATTTGACAAAGTACAACATACATTCATGATAAAAACTGTCAACAAAATAGGTTTAGAGAAAACATACCTCAATATAATAAAAGCCATATGTGAAAACCCCACAGCTAACATCACATTCAATGGTGAAAAACTGAGAGCTTTTCCTCTAAAGTCAGGAACAAGGTAAGGATATTCAGTCTCACCACTTTTATTCAACATAGTACTGGAAGTCCTAGCCATACCACTCAGACAAGAAAAAGGAAAAACCATCCAATTAGTAAGGAAGATGTAAAACTTTCACTATTTGCAGATGACATGGTACTATATATAGAAAACCCTAAAGACTCCATCAAAAAATTACTAAAACTGATAAATGAATTCATGAGGTCACAGGATAAGAAATCAATGTACAGAAATCCATTGCATTTCTATACACTAATAATGAAGGAGGAGAAAGAGAAATTAATAAAACAATCTCATATACAATTGCACCAAAAATAATGAAAAACCTAGAAATAAGCTTAACCAAGGAAGTGAAAGACCTGTACTCTGAAAACTATAAACATTGATGAAAGAAACTGAAGACAACATAAACAAATGGAAAGAGGGATCCCTGGGTGGCGCAGTGGTTTGGCGCCTGCCTTTGGCCCAGGGCGCGATCCTGGAGACCCAGGATCGAATCCCACGTCGGGCTCCCGGTGCATGGAGCCTGCTTCTCCCTCTGCCTGTGTCTCTGCCTCTCTCTCTCTCTCTCTGTATGACTATCATAAATAAATAATAAAAAAAAAAAAATTAAAAAAAAAAAAAAAACAAATGGAAAGATATTCCACACTCATGGACTGAAAGAACAAATATTGTTAAAATGTCCATACTACCCAAAACAATCTACACATTTAAAGCAATCCCTAGGGATCCCTGGGTGGCGCAGAGGTTTGGCGCCTGCCTTTGGCCCAGGGCGTGATCCTGGAGACCCGGGATCGAATCCCACGTCGGGCTCCCGGTGCATGGAGCCTGCTTCTCCCTCTGCCTATGTCTCTGCCTCTCCCTCTCTCTCTGTGTGTGTGTGACTATCATAAATAAATAAAAATTTAAAAAAAATGCTTTAAAAAAAATAAAAAATAAAGCAATCCCTATCAAAATACCAACAATATTTTTCACAGAACTAGAATAATCCTAAAAAATACTGATGACCAACAAACACATGGAAAGATGCTTACATCATTCATTATCAGGGAAATGCAAGTCAAAATCACAATGAGATATCACCTCAAACCTGTCAGAATGGCCAAAATCGAAAACGCAAGAAACAATAGGTATTGTCAAGGATATGGAGAAAAATGGAACTTTTGCGCACTGTTGGCAGGAATGTAAACTGGTGCAAACTGGTTTCCACTGTGGAAAACAGTACAGAACTTCCTCAAAAAACTAAAAATAGAATTACCGTATCATCCAGTAATTCCAGTATGAGATATTTACCCAAAAAATACAAAAACATTAGTTTGAAAATGTATGTACACCATGTTTATTTGCAGCACTATTTATAATAGTCAAATTATGAAAGCAGCTCAAGTGTCCATTGATAGATGAATGGATAAAGAAGATGTGTGTGCATACAATGGAATATTAATCAGCCATTAAAAAAAGTAAAGTCTTGCCATTTGCAGCAATATGGATGAATCTAGAGAATATAATTCTACATGAAATAAGTCAGTAAGAGAAAGACAAATATCATATAATATGACTCATATATGAAATTTAAGAAACAAATGAATAAACAAAGGAAAAACAAAAGAGAGAGACAAACCCAAAAACAGATTTTTAACTATAGAAAAAGAACAGATGGTTACCAAAGGGGCAGTAGGTAGAAGGATGAATGAAATAGGTGATGGGGATTAAAGAGTACACTTATGATGAGCACTAATGTATAGCATTGTTAAACCACCATACTGTACACCTGAAGTTAATATAACACTGTATAGGGGTACCTGGGTGGTTCAGTGGTTAAGCGTCTGCCTTTGGCTCAGGGCATGATCCTGGAGTCCTGGGATCAAGTCCCACGTCGGGG